TGAGATGTACGTTGTTCACCATTCTACTTTTTACTAGTCTCAACTAAACTCTTTGTATTATTTACATATCGAAGTGAGTTGAACTTAGAACTACACCAGTACACAAATCTAGTGTGCAGGTATTCGTCAAAAACTTCGGATCTTGCATCCTGATCAATCAAAATACTGCATCCACAAAAGTTTCTCTTTATTTTCTTAATTGTATAGGTTCAATTATAAAGATTTGTTCTTTGAAAACTAATTTGGTTAAATCTTTATTTCAAAACTTCAATTGAATATGTGTAATGAAGAAAGTCAAAGTGTTATGATATGGAATTAAAATGAATTAAAAGATGAGATGTCTAATATTATTAAATAATTTAGAGAAATTTTCTATGTAATATAATATGTAGTTGTGCTAAAAAATATATATTAATATGTATTTTAAAAAATGTCATTATTTTTTCTTTTAATAATGTGTTATACATTTGACTTAAATTTTAATTTGGACTTCCTTAAAAATTTTAGTTAAATATTCAATATTTTACTATATTTGGGATATACATTAGTTATATATTATTTATGTAAATATATCAATGATTTAAACGTCATATCATACTTGAAAGTTTTTTTAAAAAAGAAAACTTATATTTAGTAAAAATAAAATATTAAGATTAAAATGGACTAAAAATGAAAAAAAATCTGAACTTTATAGATTAACTTTTTGAATTTTTCAGAATTTGATTTTTCATATCTTCTGATATTTAGTTCTAATTGTACAACTTCCACTATAAATTGTACAATTAATTTATTATTATTATTATTATTATTATTATTATTATTAATTTCTAGTAGTCTTCTAGAATATGAAAGTACTTTTGTTTTTTTGCTTATTGTACGGTTTGAATAGCTCCATTATGATTGGACAAAACAAGAGAGAAATGAGAGCAAAACTCCACTTTCACCATTAATGGTTCTTTTTTTCAAAGTGAGAATAATTAATTATACTAATTTAATTACGGCTGAATATAACAAATGATCCGTTGGTAATTCTCAATTTTGATTTTTAATCTTTTAAATTTTTACTCTTAGTATATAAAAAATTCTTAATTTGGTTCTTCCAAAAGACAATTGTTTACATTTCATAACCAAAATAAATAAATAAATAAATAACCTCAATAAATAGGGTTAAAGATAGAGGTCAATAACAGCTGAATTAAGCTTATGTTTTAATATACTATTAAATATTAATTACCATTTTTTTTTACTACCGCTAAGTTAAGTTTATGAGTTTATGTTAACAAAACAATAATTTAATGATAAATTAATCGTGTATGAATAAATTTCAAAAGATTTTCGTTTGAAGAGACTTAAATGAGTATTTTAAATACATTAATGGTAAATTTGATATTTTTAAAAGATTTTAGAGAAAATTGAGAATTACCTACAAAATTAAGATGCGTTTGGTATATTTAGCCTTTAATTATTTATTGTGTAAAGTTCTTTCTTTTTTAATTTAACACTGTGGTGTAGATTTGAACGTTTGAGAATTTGGACAATAATATGTAACTTAATTAGCTGAGTTATATTTAGATTAATGTTGCGTAATGTTTTTTCATAGAGTCTTTGAAAATTGAATTTTATATTATTTCCGTACAATTCCCACTATGTTACATTTCACTTTATAGCACTGACTGAATAAAAAAATCCTTAATGCACATCTGAACTTTATCTTAAAATCAATGGAAGATTTCTACTTGCTTTATTTAACAATATTCATGCACATATAAAAAATTTAATAATTTATAATAATAAGAACATTTTGTTTTATTTTAATTAAGCTAAAAGTTTTTGTATATTATATTCTATCCTTGTATTTTTAGTACAACAACATTTTCATTTCTTTTTTTCTTTTGAAAATGTTGGATCTGGAAATATGTTATATATTATTAATAGCTATTCAACTAATTAATTTGTTGTATTTTTGTTCATGCGTTAATAAAATTATAAAATGTCGATACATTCCAAAAATACAAGATTATATAATAAATTCATAGGTAGATAACACATTAAAAGACAATTATATATGAGTTATTTAACGAAATCTCCCGAATCTCAAATTTAATTATCTTTTTTTTAGTATAACAAATATAAGACGGGGATCGAACTTCTAACCTCTAAGAAAGGAGCAGGTGCCTTAACCATTGAACTATGTCTATATTGATAAATATCATTTCTTTTCATTTGTTGCCTATGTTTGAATTAATTAATTGTTTAATAAACTCCAACATATATGATTTTGTATAATATAATTGAAAATTTAATATAGTATGGGGGTCAAAATAGTCAAAGAATATTCTTATATGAAGTTAAAAGTCATTTTTAAATACAATTTATAATTTGAAAAAAAAAACATGAAATTTAAATTGCAAACAAAGTGGAGTTTGGAATCCTACGTATCTCCAATTTGGACTTCAAACCACTTCAAACTTTATAATTATTCTAACAAATATAAAAATATATGCACACATATGAAAAATATCTTATACATACTCTCAAACTTAGGAACTTGAATAAATATGAATCTTAAATACTAACTTCTTCTACTTTTTTGTTGAATGTTTTTGTTTTCAATAGTAGACAAAGAGTATAAGAAAATTTGAACTACGTTTTCAATCGAACTCTATAAAGTGGAGTAATTTATTCTTTGTTTACAACACAAGTTAGACTTTGCTCTCTCTTGTTGGGAAAAACTATTTTATTTCTACCGCATAAATAAGCAAATAATAACTGATAAATTAAAAGAAAATAACAGCAATAAAGAAACACAAGAATTTACAAGAAAAATTCCAAATCAAAGAAAAACCACGGTCCATCAGAAAGAAAATCCACTATGTGAAAAATATTATGAAATTCGACCCCAGATAGAAAAAGTTAGTGTACCGACTTAAAAGTATTTCATTTTACCAAAAACCGAACATCTTAGTGGATGGTACAAGTCTGTCTCTAGGGGAGAGAGAATGGGATGGTATAAAAAGGGAGGAGTGTGAGGAAATATTGGAGTATGGTTTGGTGCAAAAGATAAGGAAAAAAAAAACTTCTTTTGCATATTCTCTCTAGTCTTGAGGATACAAATACACATGCAAAGGTATGTTTTCAACATCTCATTAATTCATTCCCCAAAATGATATATGCTCTTTCTTTTATAGCATTCTTCAAATAATTTCCATTTCAATTTAATATTTTATCTTAACTTTTGAATTTGTGTTTCTAAGTATATAAATGAGTTGTTGGCTCCACTATTCATGTTTGTTTAGTTTAAATTTTGTTGTGGCTAAATTTTAAATTTATCAAATGTTTTATATTTTTCTTCTAAAACTTTCGTGATTATTCATTTTTTGTTCTTGTAGTTTATTTTTGCGTACTATATTTAACAAAGATTCTAAGTCACGTATTTTCTAAATTTGATACGACATTTGTTAATGGTTAGCAAAATCTTTATTGAATGACAATATAAAATTTTAAAAGTAAATATCCAAACAAATTTTTATGTAAAATTTAAGGGGGAAATAACCTAAAATTAATTAATAGGTTAAAGCGGAAGGATTTTTAATGATGTTCAATAATAAAGTAACTAAACTCGAAATATTCTCACATTTCAACATAATTTTATGCAAAATAAATTAGTGAACTATCAAAACTTAATTTAATATTTGTGATATCAATTGGTTAAAGATAAGTAAAATAAATTAGTGAACTATTACTTATCTTCTTGGTCGTAGACTTGAATTCTTTCTCATTATTTATATGTGTATATACATGTTTTTGTTTATTGTATTAACTATTAATGTTTTGTCTATCAAAATATATTCGGAGACAGGTGTCTTAACTAATTGAGTTAATTTAATTTAGTCCCTCTATTTATAATAAAATACTTATCGTTATAATTTTTAGAAGCGCTGTTAATCAAATTTTGGTGGCACTAATTTACTTGAGAATCATTGGGCTGTTATACCGGACTGCCAGTAAGGAATATTGGGCCTTCACGGGCTTTATGGGCCAATTTAAGGCCCATAGTGCTGCCGTATTTAATCAGTAAATCTATCTTTTTTTCCCTCCTTTTTAATCATAAAATTACTATTTCAACCAGATTTTAATGTCTACGTAGATGGATATTTTTAGAAGGATTATAAAACTTGAAGAAAATTCATAAAGAATACCTAAATTAATACATAAGCCTTTCACCCTTTCATCTCAATAAGTTAATATGATGTCTATATTTGTGATATTTTATTGATATTTTTCATATTTTATCGTTGATGTCGAATCCATGGATACATGAAAATGTCGACATATCTATAGATATTTTTAATATCTTTTTTTCAACAAATATATATTATAATAATCATTTTCTTTATTAAATATTTTTTTTATGTTAATTTTTACTTTCAATAAACTTATTTACAACTTATGAAGCTATTATAGTTTTTTATTGTTTCTTTTTTCTTTTCTCAATTTCATAGGTTTGAACTCATGAAATTTTATAGATATTATTTCCTCTGCAATAAAATTTAGATTTCAACCTTTCTACCAAATTCTTACACCACCTCAGTAAATGAGATTAAGTTTGTGAATAAAAAAAATAAAAAAAAAATGTTTGAACTTTAATTTTCAATTATATTCTCAAAATTATAATTTTACATTTTCACCCTTTCTTAAAATTTTTTTAGATTTGAGTGCGAAGAAAATTCCAATCAAATTAGAACTCAAAAGCCTGATTTGATTTGATCGAACTTATGATCTAAATAGGGAATTTTTTTTTTAGGAAAAAAGAAAGGAGAATAAAGAATCGAACTATTTTCTCAACACTAATATTCTTTAAATAATTCATCAACTTATCCTCTCATTTTCACACCATGTCAACATTCATCGCATAAATAATAATGTTTTCATCACATAACAATTACATTGATTTTAGATCACTACCAAACATGATGCTCGGAAATGCGTAAGAGGAGATATGAGTAAGCGAACGTTCTATATACTACGAAAAACCTTTTACTTCGAGTGAAAAGTGCTTTCGGTCCTAACAAAAGTATTTTTGGCTAGGATAAAAGCACCCAATATATATATACACTCAAATTTCAAGAGGAAAGAACTGGCTTGTTCTATAGTACACCCAAATTTGAACCACTAATTTCACTTGCTTCTGAAATCTCTACAAAAAAAATTCACCTTCTCTTTGCATTAAAAGGCATTCTCCCTTTGAGATATTAAGCCAGCCATCCCTTTCATTGAAAAACTTGAAGAAAAAAGATCCCCATGATTTGGCCATGTGTTCTTATTGGAATCCTGCATTCTAAGAAGCATTAATATTGGGATGGAGAAGATGGAAACAATCTCCCCAACATGTCAGAATTCCCATCATGCTTGTCCTGGAAAAAAGTATATAATTATTCCTTTTGTTAAGAACATTTTAATTTGTAACCAGAGATGCAGAGAACTGGGGGAGGTAAGATTTTATCTTTAAGATTCCAAAACTTATGATTGTAATAACCAGGCAACCCAATTTTTCCTAAGCTAGTACAAAAAACTCTGTACATATAAACACCGACAGAGCGAGAAGAGACAAAATTTTACCTTCTAACTTTTTCTACGTTTTTTTTAAACTAGGAAGAACTGAAGAGGCAATTTCCTCCCTCCTTCCTTTACTCTGCTCCTAAGTATGATAGAGAATACCTTTTTGCGTTTTTTTCTCATTCATGAACATGTATTCTTCGGGGCCATGGCATGTAGATTTTCGAGGTCAATAACCTCTTCGACATTGTAGTATTCACCATCACCATGTGAGTAGGAGAGAGCTTCCATGCGTTTCAATTCCTTTGCAGTTTGGTTTTCTGTTTTTGCATGTTTTTGGTGGAGGGCCTCATTTATTTTTCCTGTTATGCACTACTTTTACATACTTTCCATGTTTTTCTGTGATTGTAACTGAAGTTTTTTGCTCCATAATCACTCAGTCTGCAGATTTCACACCTTGCTTCTTTGTGACACCTGAAGAGAGAGAGAAAGTGGTTGACTGTTATATCAAAAAACCAAAAACTAGATAGCATTTATGGCTAATGAGCTTGGTTTGATGATGAGAAAGAACAAGTGGAAGATGCCTATGAATGTTTTCTTCAAGGATGCAAGGTATATATAACTTTCTGCTCCATTTTTCTCTTTCTTTCCCCTCCCCTCTGGCTTCCTCTGTACTTCGATTTTTTCTCATTTCTTGAATGCTCTTTTGGTACTGATTAAAAGAAATGTCCCTCCAGACTTGTTTTCAAGTGGGACAAACTTGGTAAGGAGATCCTAGGAATAGCATTTCCTGCTGCTCTAGCTGTTGCTGCTGATCCCATTGCCTCTCTTATTGACACCATTTTCGTCGGCCATATCGGTATGTACTCTACATTGACCGCTATCTTTTCATAGCAATGTCAAACCAATTTAGTAATTTGTAATTTCATTGATGATGCTTATGCTTAACTTGGTTTCCATAAATCTACAGGAGCGATTGAACTTGCTGCTGTGGGAGTCTCTGTTGCGATATTCAACCAAGCTTCAAGGATTACCATATTCCCACTTGTGAGCATAACAACATCTTTTGTTGCTGAAGAAGACACTATTCGGAAAACTGCCATAAAACCAGCTAAAGGTGAGATAGAAAAGAAGCATTTGGCAGAAAATGGTCAAAAGAGAGAACTTACACCACAAGATGAAACCAAGAAGGAAAATACGTTGGAAAAGAGTAGTACTAATTCGCTCACAAGCAACGAAACAAGAAATCCGGCACCCGAAAATGGCACCATTCAAGATTTGGAAAAGAATGCATCAGGAGAAAAGAGTGAGGAACTTGAAAAGAAGTCCTCAAAACAAGATGGGAAAAAAGAATCTATGCCAGAAAATGCCACACTCGAGAACGTCGAAAAAGGTAAAATAAAAAAATAAAATCTACTAGTAGGGAAAATAAACCAATTTGTTAATATAAGGGTGCTGGTAAACGCTTCTGTTTCTCGTTTTCTATTCCAGGTTTTCATTTTTAGGAAACAAGAACTAGTTATTCAACGTAGCTTTATTTACCTTTCTTAAAAAAGAATAAATAAGAAACAAGAAACACGGATGTTATCAAATGGGTTGATAATTTCCATACGCAAACTAAACTCCTCGTGGTTTTCCATGATAGATTCAAGCACAAATAAGTCTGAGCCTCCTGCGGTCAGCACTCCAACAGTAAAATCCAAGAAGAAAGAGAAGAAGCAGATTGCTTCAGCATCAACAGCACTGATGTTTGGAACAGTGTTGGGCCTCCTACAAGCTATATTCCTTGCATTTGGTGCTAAATTCTTGTTAAATGTAATGGGAGTGAAGCAAGTAAGTTCCATCACCAATTAAAACTGCAAATCTAACATCCCTTATGGCTTCTAATGTAATCCTTTTTTTTCATAGGGATCTCCAATGCTAGCTCCTGCCATGAAATATTTGGTGTTAAGGTCACTTGGTGCTCCTGCTGTTCTCCTTTCTCTGGCCATGCAAGGAATCTTCAGAGGGTTTAAGGACACAAGAACTCCTCTCTATGTCATTGGTAGCTCTAACTTTTATCACACTTCTTACTCAAACAATTCTAGACATGCCTCTTTCTCTAATTTTTCTCCATTCTCTTTGGTTTTTTTAACTAGTTTTGGGGTACGCAACAAATATCATTTTGGATCCAATATTGATATTTGTGTGCCATTTGGGAGTGAAGGGTGCAGCTATTGCACATGTTCTCTCTCAGTAAGTAACACCATCACTCACAATATTTGAGCTGTTCTGCTCCAACCCATTCTTTTCAATCATAACTGTTTGCTGTTATTATTATCTCAGGTATTTAATTGTGTTGGTCCTCGCTTGGAGATTGATGCAAAAAGTTAATCTCTTACCTCCTAGCCTTAAAGAGTTGCAGTTTGGTCGGTTTCTAAGAAATGGTAACGCTCATTCTTTATGTCTTCTTTTTAAACCGTTGAGGCATGCACCTGAAAACAACAAAATACATGTTCAATGTTTGCTTGCATAATTTTTTGTTAAAGGAATATGAAACCATATTTACTGAAATCTATTAACTTGATATAAGAACAGGAGGTTCTATGTTAGACCTCAAGAAGTGTTAAAAATATGAATAAAAAATTAAATTCAATGAGCTTAAGTTGTTGGGTTGAACGTTAGTTTAACCATTTCCATCAGAATTTTACTGATTTAAAGCCATATTAATTCCAACATGGTAGAGCATTCCTTGAATGCAGGTAGTCTGCTCCTGGCAAGAGTCATAGCTGTGACCTTCTGTGTGACACTGGCTGCATCCATGGCTGCCCGGCTAGGTCCAACGCCAATGGCCGCCTTCCAGACTTGCTTGCAGGTCTGGATGACATCATCCCTCCTCGCCGATGGCCTAGCCGTCGCTGGACAGGTAGTTAAACGAAAACCCCCCAATGCTTTAATCTAAAGCGAGAACTCAAGAATCATACTTATTGAATGGTTAGAATCAAGAAGGTAAGAAGAACAATCTAACTTGTAACCATGAAACAATGCTACTGTTTACCAAAATATATAGTAACTTCGTATCTGGGAAAATCTTCTTGAACTAAACACACCAAAACTAGAACTGAAACAGAAGAATTGAAGTATGTTTAGTAATTAGTATATTAACCCCGCATACTATTTATACTCTTTTATGGGTCCCCTGGATAATGGATAACCACTCATAAGTCCATGATCAATGAAAGTTCATGGGTCTACTTAATTTCAAACCACTTTCACCAGCCCCGTTAAATAGCCTAATAATGTAATTATATTAAAATGCCACCCGGCATCAGAATTAAAAGTTCTAACAACGTATTCTTCCTTCACAAAGTTGATCGGTTTCAGTTCACTTAACTCCCCAAATTTCTGATTTGTGGGTGTTGAATTTTTTCCTTCAGGCGATCCTAGCGTGTGCATTTGCAGAGAAAGATTACGAGAAGACCACAGCAACAGCCACAAGGGTTCTACAGGTAACCAAACTTCTAATATTAAACATTGCAGATAACATGTTCGACGAAATTCCCCAAAGAAGATAAGAGTCTAAATTCAAAAGAAAACCAGGAGATTTCACACGATTTGTAAGTAAAGAAAACTTATCTGGGTTGTAAATGCAGATGAGTTTCGTTCTGGGCGTTGGGCTTGCGGTGGTTGTAGCGGGGATTATGTACTTCGGAGCCGGAATCTTCTCCGGCGATGCTCAAGTGCAGGCCCTCATCCACATCGGAGTTCCGGTATTTAACATATACAAACTTTGAAACTGGATTTTGCTTGCTGTCATTGTAATTTAAACCAAATGGTTTGTTCTAAGAAAAATAATAATTAGGTTATTATCCGTTAGCACATCTTCACTCTCACTAGTCGCTATTAAATTTTTCACGAGTTGAAAATGAAAAATACATAAAAATAAATATTTCTATTTTTCAAAAACTAAAAAACTGTAAAAAAAAAATTAATTTGGTGATAAACACGTATGCTAATCCATTACTACTGGTTATGGTGTTAACGGCCTCCACCTACTATTTATTCAAATTTGGAAAAAAAATTTCTCAGAGTTAGAGTTTCTATTTTTAGATGTTCGAGTTTTCATTTTATTCTTAACTCGAAAAAAAAAAAAGAAGAAGAAAATAAGATGGCAAAATTTAATATTTTTCCATTCGAACATAGTTAGGTCGACAAAATGTTTTTCGATGAGAGATTAACAATCTACCATGTATAAGTGAAGAGAGAAAATTTTAGAAGTTTAATCAGATAAACTATTTTATATATTTTGTTTGACGATAAACTAGAAAGAAGGACAATATCCGTTCTTTCTTGACTCTTCCCTTTAAAGAATTGATGGTTAAAAGTGAGAAATTATTCGAGAGACTAAAACGATGTGTTAACAATTCTACAATTTAAAAGTTGTATTTCGAATTTGCATGTCAAACATTTTTTCTCTCTCTAAAAATAACAATTTTTATTTTTATCTCTCTTTTAGTTTGTGGCAGCAACACAGCCAATGAACTCCTTGGCATTTGTGTTTGATGGAGTGAACTTTGGAGCTTCTGATTTTGCATACTCTGCCTATTCCTTGGCAAGTTTCTCTCTTTGATCATTTTCTTTCTCTCTCTCTCTCTCTCTCCTTTCTCACTCATGATCCATTTTCTCTCTCTCTCTCTACAGACTCTGGTGGCCATTGCCACCATTCTCTCCCTCTTCCTTCTCTCCAAGAGCTATGGCTTCGTTGGAATTTGGACTGCTTTGGCTATCTATATGGCTCTTCGCACTCTCGTGGGTCTATTAAGGTATTTCATACTCTTCTCGAGTTGGTTCTCGAGACCATTTCGAAAATGCGAATTATTGAAGGAGTTGGGTTATTATAAAATCACTGGATTTTGTGAATGATGATTTCAATGTTGATCTGGATTACAAATTTTAAAACCATATTACGAAAATATGGGAAACTGTTTCTCAAATAAATCATTTTGTTTCAATAAAGCTAAATATTGATTCAACTTTGTCCTACTTTAAATTTTTTAAAAGATAGTTTGGATAAGATCTCTAAGTATCCTGAATATTATAATCTGATTGGACGTTACAGGATGGGAAGTGGAACGGGACCGTGGCGTTACCTAAAAGGATCATTGTTGCCCTAGTCACATTGTGGTGTCACAAGAAAAAGTTCAATTAGTGAAGGTCTATAAGAATGATGGTCACAAGGGTTTTCATTTTTCTTGAATGTCGTTATAACTATTATTTTCATATTAACTTCTACTATACTATATAGTCCTAAGTTGGGGGAGAGCTTCTTTCTTACAACATCATATTATTGTTATGAAAGGAAATTTTATATTGTCCGTGTAACATTATATCAAGTTTTTTCGTAATTTATAAATACATCCACTATCTGACTAAGAGGTCATGATTTTGAATCTTACACCCCACTTGATGTACTCAAAGTAAAATAAAAATATTTTACCACAAATTTCAAGAGAATTATTGATTTCAAATCTTAAATTATATATATTTTTCTTTTTTTTTTTGGACATATAACCATACAATTCAACTTCAAGAGTCCATAAAATCATAATTTAAATTTAAGAAAAAATATTAATTTGGCCTAATATTTAAAAATGTAAAATTTCACAAAATAATGAAAAGGAAATTCATATTTGGAAATCAATAATTGAATTTTAAAAGACATTTCCACATGACAATCGCTAATATCGATTATTAAAATACTGCTTAAATTAATAAATAAATTATTGCTCATAACTCATAAGATCGAATTATTTTTTATCACTTTTGAATTATCAACGGCAAATAATTGGCGGTCTGAGTTGGTATCCACCCAATAAAAGTTTGCCAGGTGCCAATCTTCAACCTAATAAATTTATAAAATCTTTATCTTTAATCATTACTATAATAATGAGAATATTTTGGAATCCTTTTTTTTTTTTGGACGATTTTATTCGTATAAATCGACATATTAATTATATTTCATTTGGTTCAACTTCAAACTATCAAATGTAACTATAAATAATTATGAGAATATTTGAACTTCATATAGCTTTTTGCATTTCAAATCAAATGTTAGCTTTAGAAGTCAAAAAAAAAATTAATAATCAAATGTAGCATTTTTCAACAATACATTGCAATATATATTTAGTTGAAAATGATAAAATACGAAATTACATATGTATCCTTACTATCTCCCTTGTTTAGTTGACCATCTACAATCATGTAATTATTTTGATAAATTAATTAACAGTAATCAAAATAATTTATTATCGACTTTTTTTATTCGATCTACATAAATAAATGTTTAGAACTATGTGTAATTACAAATTTGAATAGTATATTCTCAACTAAAAGATCAAATATTCAAATTATCAAATTCTCGTTGAACTCAAAAAATAATTTTTTATTATTTTAACTTCTTGGTCAGAGATATATGTCAATTAAGTTCATGTTGACACTCAAAAAATAATAATTAATAATAATAAAGATCATGTAATTAATTAGATATCACCCCTTAATTGTGTTTTACTTCGTCCATTTTCCTTTATGTTTGCCAACGCAACAAACCAAACAAGTAACACCACCTCATTACACATTATAGCACCGACAAAAACAACTTGTGACGTTTGATTAGACCATAGAAGCAAAATTTAAACTTTTGAAGCTGTGAGATGAACATTTGATTGATCAAGATATTATTTTACCGCTTCAAAGATCAAAAGTTCAAATCTCTCCCTCACGAAATCAAAGATGCAACCCAGACCAGACCTAAAATAAGAAAATCCGAACCATAAACTAAAAAAATAATCAAATATGGAAAAGTGAAGCACGTGAAGAAAGTTCAAACATTCAAATGAACCGCCCATTCAAAATGTGGGCCCCATAAAAGTGGATTGAAAATAATATTATCCCAAAAGTGAAAAGGCAGCAAAGCGAAGCAACCCACTTCAAAAGTCTCGCCTACCCACTTGCCCCCAAAAAAAAGTAGTTGGACAATTACACCCACAAACATTATGAACACAATTAAATATCCATCCATATAAATATAATAATAATATTGATCCTATATTAATTATTTTGTAACAATTTAATTCATCTACTTCAAAATAAGTAACAATTTATTTTTTACAATTTCATCTTTAAGTTATAATATATAATAATTTAATCTCTATAGTTTAAACTTGATAACAATTTATCAAAAAAAAAAAAATTGATAACAATTTAATTTCAATCATAAATTTTATAGTTCTCAAACTAAATCGTTGCTTCAACAAAAAGTACAAGACCGAAGACCATGCTTATAAGGATTAAATCATTACCAACTAAATTTCAAAGACTAAATTAATACCAAATGTATATTTTAAGTTTTTAACCTCAATAATCAATAACAAAATTTATAAAATAAAATATCTCTCATTAAATCACTTTCCATCTTCTTGGAGGGCTTTGCCCAATGTCCACACTCAAAGATGAAAACTCCTTATTTGATGTATCAATCAACATCCAATTGGGGAGAATGCCACTATCACAGATCCTCCATCATTTTCCCATCCTCTTAGAAAACAAATCTCACATCAAAACACAACAGCAGAAAGATTTCCACAAAATGAGAAATTCAAATTGATAATAAATAATAAATAATACAATAATTATGATAATAATAATAGGATGAAGAAGAAGAAAAATTCAGATTTAAAGTTTTACATGGATGGAGGAAACTCTCAAAACAAATTGGGAGTTGGGACAATCTTTTTTCTGCAGCACATCCTCCTCCTCCTCCTCCTAAAAGATAATAATTAAACCTCTTCTCTTATAGTTTTTTATATATGGGAAGGGGAAAAATAAGGAAGAAAGCTCTTGGTTTCTACAGCTTTAAAAATCAAGAAGCCTTTGTTGGAAATGAAATTGCAGAAAAGGGAGAGAGAAATATAATGGAACCTGGACAAGTTTCCTTAATATTTTTGGCCCAGAGACTGACTGAGACTGACTGACTGACTGATGTAAAATAATGAATGGTAAGTAATTGAATGGAAATCAATCTGACCACCTTCCCTTCCTCTTCTTCCACATCATCATCACTTTCACCTCTGTTAAAAACCCTTCAGCTTCACCTTACCCAGAAAGAATCTTGGGGTAAAAATACCTATCTCGATGAGTAAAATGAAAATGCCTCTTCTTTTTTTTCTTTCTTTTTTGTTACCTTCTTTTTTTCTGTACTACACTACAAGCTGATCAAGCTGCATCTGCTCAAGCCAAGCTCCTATCACAGAATGATCAGAGGATTCTAATTGTGATTTAGTGGTATTGAGGTCCTCACCGGATGCTGCAGCGCCCATCCCAGGTGCTGCCAACTTCTCTTTTAGCATCTCAGGTGGGGACTCCTTCACCAGGGATTGAACCCATGATAAGTCAGGCTCCTCCCCGTTATTCCCGATCTCAAAAGAGGATGATCTTTGCAGTTGACCCAGTTCACTTTTACCAACCGACCAATCCACTTTCCCATTGGGGGATCCCCATTTAGGCAAAGAACTAACAGGAGATCCAATCAATGAGCTGAGGACGTTGGATCCAAGCTCCCTTGAGCTGAGGGTGCGGAGATGTTGTTGCTTTTCACGCTGTACAAAGGCGGAGAACCTAGATCCCATTGGGGATGGTGGCTCAGTGCTTCTTGGTGACATCCTTCCTGGCGATGAAACTCCAAAAGAGGCCTGCAACAAAGGATGATCGACATTCTTAGGAGACATAATGCTTGTATTAATAGGTGACAACATGTTCTGCTGCTGCTGGAATTGATTAAGTAATGTTGATTTGCGTGTAGGGGAAAAGACGTTGGTGGCTGGATCAGAGAATCGGGGAGACGAAGAGATCTCAGAAGAAAATAGCTCTTCAAGGTTGTTAGGAGTTAGAGTCTGGGTCCAGCAAGATCGGCTCACAGACACTGCACTTGGACGAGGCTGAGAGAAACAGTTCATATCATTTAACATCCGTGGCTGGTTGTCAAAGTCTGGTAAGACATTCAAATCCTCCAAAGGCATATCCCTGGCATTAAGAGATGACCTCAACCGGCTAGATTGAAGGTTACTGCCTGGAAGATGAAGAGTTGGTACATTCGGTTGCTGCCAGTTCATAGAAGCGTGAGAAACGCCATTAGAGGAGGGAGACATGGACTGCGCAAATGGAGATGGAGATAAGGCTGACACTGATGAAGGGGAACCGGGCAGAAGACCCAATGCAGTAGCCATGTCCATTACAGTTGGGGCAGATCCAATTGATCGTGGGGAAGGGACGGCAGATCCAGTAGACACATACAATGGCCTTAGCTCCTCATTGGTATGAGCAAAGAAACAGACCCGTCTATTGCAACTTGTCCCATCCTTACAAAGACGAGTTCGATACTGAGCTGGGTGAAGCCAACATTCAAACACTCCATGTGCATATTCGCACATATCCCCACGCCTACAAGCCCCCTTTCTGAAGTCTGGGCAAGGAACACAGCTGTAGTGAAACTTCCTTGGGTCTCTTCGGCGAGCATTCTCCCCTGGGTGGACAAACGGACACTCAGTCCAATCATGGGAATAGGCCCTAGAACAAGGTCTCACTTTGAATGAGAACATGCGAAACTCATCAGTTGCATATATACTGTTCTTAATGTCAGGAAGTGATGGATCAATTGGATATTCTTTCTTCTCCTTTGTAGAGTTTGCAAACCCATCAGTAAATTTGGGAGAAGACATGGACTTGGGAGGAGATGGAAATTCATCCTCCAATGATGAGGAGAGTGATGGTGACTCTGAATCGGGCGTTTTGATTGATAAATGCAAACAGGAAACATCCATAGATCCATTGGAAGCATGATTATTGAGAAGTTCCTCAAGCCTGAACCTTGTGTTCTGCTTCTGCAGCTTTGGGTGAACAAAAATGACATCAACAGGACGATCACCATTAACATCCTTGGAGCTTGGGTCAGCACCAGCCGATAAAAGCATATCAACAATATCAACAGCATTCACAGATCCACTGGAAGCAGCACAGTGGAGAGCAGTGCTCTTGTCTGTGCCAGACGACAGATTAACATCAACCTCAGGAAAAGATAGTATAAGCTTCAGAACATCAACACAACCATATGTGGCAGCAACCATCAGGGGTGTTCTATGCTCATGAACAACTTGTTTGGAACCTTTTTGTCGAACATACCAGAGTCCAGACTTGTTAAGTGAAAGCAAATCAGAATCCATCAAACGCTTGAAGCCCTCTACATCGTTGTCAGAGGCAAGCTCCAGTAAACTATAAAAAGAATCTTCACAATCAACGGCTAAATGATTCATGTCTTTGGGGTTAGGTGAGCTTGCTGATGAAGTAGTAGATGCAGAATTTGATTGTTCTGGACCACCGCACATACTTTAATATCTGTAATCCAAGAAAAATAACAGACCATTTAAGCCTTATATTACATCAATAATATCATGAGGCAGAAAATAATTGTTAAACCTAAAGGAAATACAAATACGATCAAGACTTGTTCAAAGAATAGCCAGACAACAACACATAACAGCCTTCTATAATAAAGTATTTAGAACCAAAACATACTCAAAAGGCAAAAAATTATAACACGGTTGTGAATAATAAATCCTTAATAAAAGATCTCAGACACTAGAAGCTCAAACCACTGAGTCCACTACTCAGGATAATCTCCAACCGTGCAAGTATATAAAGGAAACAAAGGATAAGTATCAACCAAGAGCTCACCCACAGGCTCTCGAAGAATATGAAAAATCATGAAATTCATATTTATGCCTAGATATTAGGTAAACCACACGGAACCACACCAGTGCAAGCTCTATTCTATTTCACAAAAGATTTAATATTTTAGCACCATATGATAATCCGGAAAAAAAAACAACAAAACAAAGGCATTGTTTAGGAGGGAGGGAAGGTTCCGATCTGAGGTCCGGTTGAGTTTCAACTAAAAGCAATCTGTTTGCTTTACGATACTAAGTTGTTCTGTAAGCAAAAATTACGATTACAAAAAAAAAACATGTTCCAAATTTCCCTCTACTCCTAGTAAATCGACAAACGCGATAACTAACCTAAAAAAATACACGGGAAAATTCATCTGAACTAAAGATAGACAGTAGAGCGAAAAGTGTAAGAACACCAAAACTAACAAGGCACATCGCTTGAAAGTACAGCGAAACTGATCCTGAGGCAACAGAAAACGCGCCTAATATTACGATCTGACAACAAATAATAGTCATATAACACAACAACCGTAAAACTCCTCAACAACTTCGCACAAACTAAACCCAAAAAAGGAGCAGATAAGTCAAGAATGTTAAGCTTCATATTCAATCCGAACTACTAAACAATAAAGCCAACCGACAGGTAGAACAAGAACTCACAGTCTATCTATAACAGCAGAAGAAACCAGCCGGAGATCTGAGACAGAAGAAAGCCCGCTTCGACCGCGATGCTCATCGATCGGAGGAGAAGTCGGAGGAAGAAAGAGCCACTTCACCGAGCGAGAAGAAGAAGATCGGAGAGAGAGAGCTTAAGGCCTTCATCTCCGGCGCCGGCGAAGGAAAGAGAAGAAGAAGAGAGAGAAAGAGAGAGAGATGGAATGGGGAAGAAGAAAGTAACGTCTGAAATTGAAATGAAATGCGGAGAAAATTTGGGGGAATTTAAATTTAATGTTCGTAGTTGTAAGGAAATGAGGGGGAAATGACATCGAAATGCACACTAAATGAAATGCAAATGAAGTGGGAACTTTTGGGGAGCGGGATGACCGGTTTGGCCGGTGGAAGGAAGGCGGGGCTCAGGGGTAGTGACGCACGAGTTGTTTACTGGCTGAGAAGGTGGACAGCGGAGAGGAACTGAAGGAGGGGATTAAGTGGAATGGAGTGGGGAGTTTGGAGTCCGCCAATGGGGTGTGGTCATTTGGTCAATTTTAGTTAAATGGGGGGTCAAATCGAGGAGGTGAAAAGTCGCAGAGAACAGAGGCTCCGAATTTTCGGTTTTGTAATAAAAAGAGAAAGGTCTCTTTCAGAAAACAAAAATATATTTAACGAAATATTAAAAAAAGGAAAAGTCATTTAGGAGTTGTTTGCCAATAAGTCCTTGTGTCTTTCCTTAATCAAAATTCTGCCCCCAACATTTCTCTTAATTCGACCTTTTCTTTCGTTAACCCTTCATTATTAAAAGAAAAAGTTATAAAATACTTTAATACTCTATTTTTGAAATCATATTTAGTTTTTTAAATTTTAATTTATAACAAGTTAGTATCTATATATTTTTGTTTATAATATTTTAATCTTTTAAGTACTAATGTATACAATTTAGTTTTTGTATTTTAAAGTTTGTAATCATTTAATCTCAATTGTTAAAAATATTGTTAAAATTTTAAAAAGTTTCTTTATAGGAAAATCAATTAACTTACCTTGTTCGTAAATCACAAAGACTAAATTATTTTTTTCAGACAACATAAACTAAATTGTTATCTAATAAAAATCAATTCTTAATTTTAATAAAAAAAATTTATGCTAGAGACTAAATGGTAATATAATTTAAAATTTGCACTATATAGACTAAATTTTACCTGCTAAACGTTTGCCAACCTACATCAAATAAAGTACAAATATCAAAATGTTTTTTAACCCAAAATAGTCACATCTCATGTCATCGTCATCATTTGAATTTTTACTCACTTAGTGTTTTAGTTATTTTCAAAATTACTAATTTAAATTGTAATATTGGTTATTCTATATATATATATATATACAAGTAATAAAATATTTTTAAAAAAAGTAAGATTAAGTAATTTACATTTTTCTTTTTACGAGTAAATAATTTACTTATTACAATGAAGTTGGTCCTATCGCTACCATTTTTTTTTTCACATGTATGTATGATTTATTAATAGTATAAAAATATAAATTGATTTTAACTTATCAAAAAAAAGTGTGTGTATATATATATATATATATATATATATAAAACCAATTAGATTCGAAGTTAAATTTTATCATTTTTAATGGGACTTTTGTATAGATTTGTAATACCATAATACTATGGCAACTAGAAAGCACCATATATTTATTAAATATATAATTCTTACATCCCATCTGATTATAAATGAGTTTTGTAATCTCTTATGTTAGAGAAATGTACTAAAAATAAAAAAAGTTCCACTATAAATTTGGCAATCAACTATTAAAATTGTTTCTATTTAGTCTTTTTAATTTTTTAAAAAGTTTATAATAGTATTTTAATCTTCATAAAAAAAAATATGTGTGTGTACATCCACCTCCACAATCACAACCAGTGAAATTAGGTGTCCTGAAAAAAAAAAGAAAAAAAAAAGAAATTAGGTAAGCATCCATTCACCCAAAACCAAAACCACTCATCTATTTTTATTTTGATTCATGTATAATGATCTTCAATGCTATTGATTCCAAAGGTAAGATATGTATTGATGCATGATTTAGATATTGGTTCAGATATTTAATGCATGCTCGAACCAATATCTGGACATATAGTAAATTTACATATCGGTATGATGCTAAATTCAATATATTTTAATGTCTAAATCAGATCAAGAATTCAATTGAGGATTGTCAAAAGAAAGATCGTGGAAGACGTCTCGCACCCCAAACCTTATTTCCTATTTATAGAGGGAGTCTCCTCGAATTAGTTCATGTAGATAGACTCTAGCTAATTGGGTTTGCTTTGATCGAGTTAGGTCGGATGGTCTGAGTAGGATCTAGCCCGAGTGACTTGATCTACATCGCTTTAGGCGAACCTAACATGATGTAAAAATAAACATGAAAATGAACTTAAAATGGTATTTGGCTCACAAATTCGATTTTTAAAATTTAGTTTACATTATGTAGGTTGAGTACTTATGTTCCCAGTTATAGGTTTGTTAATTACATAAATCCGTACTCGCTTGAATATAGTTTGACGGTTAAAACATCAATTAAATTTGTTGAGTACATTTGATAAAAGAAAAAGAAAACTGAACTTTCTCTAGGTTGAAGGATAAAATATTCAACTTCACAATTGTAATGTTATATTAAAAGTAAAATAAATAAAATGACATTAATCCAATTACATAATTATAGTATTCTATTGTACCTGAAAGATAAAATATATTTAAACATCTAACCTCGGAGAAATAAATAAATGTATTTACAAACTAAAACCTAAAAATTAAATATTTTTAACAAACTACATACTTTTAACAGTTGAGTGACGCTCAGGTTTGCGGTACCTCTTCAACTAAGATATTAACAAACTAAAACCTAAAAATTAAATACGGTTGTACAAGTCCACATTTTTATAATTTTTATTTAAATAAAAATATTATGGAACCTCATTCCATTATCTATCTATAAAATATGGATCAGACATCTTTTAATTGATATATGTACTTTTTATCCAAACAAATATTTATTGTCAATAATGGAATCTTTTCAAAAACCAATCTATCAAATGAACCAAATCTTTTGTGGAATTTTTTTTGTAAAAATATTTTTAATGTGTAACTTTTTTTAATTATAATTTGGCCTTTATCCCAAATTGGTTAAGCATATAAATTTGCTCTTAATGCATAATTTCCATTAGAATTAAAGCATAAGATATGGATGGTTGTGTTTGAATTGGTGTCTTTTCCATTATTGTATAATATTTTTGCTGTCCTTTGCAAAAAATAAAAAATATAAATAGAACTATTTTTTTGGCTTGATGATGCCCTGTGGAGTCAGATTTCCAATAAAAATAGCTTTAATCTATTCCCTTATTTATTTATTTATTTCTCTTTTTTTCCATCATAATAAAAATACCCATTGATGCTTTTTTTTTGGCATATTAAATATGGAATAAGGACAAATAACTGAGGTATGGTTCAAGGTATGAAGGAAAAATACTTTTATATACAAACCACTTGCATGTTTAATTATATAAACTTTTTAAATTAGATTGAGATGATAAATTATTTTATTGTTTTCATGTAAAAATCATGATCAATAAGTTATCTTCACTCATTTATTTTTTTTCCATAAATATTGACATTGTTTTGATCCATGGAGCGATAGTAATTTTTTTAAAATTTAACCAGACTTAAAATTGGTTGTACTAAAAAAACTTAAAATTTAAGTGGTAAAAAATATTAATCTATAAATATTGTTTGGAAAAAAAATTAAGAAATGCTACCTGGGTCTCGGATGATCTGTGTAGGTCGGTGATCCAAACTTAACTATGGCAGCAAGAGAGGTCTCGCAGCTCGGTAAGCCCTAGCTCCGAGCGCATAATAAAGAGTGAATCAATAATCATCAGGATCACGCCTTGATCCCAGCGGTGATTCTTGCAACGAGAATCACCATCTGGATTCCTATAAATACATCCTTATTCCACTCATGTATGTACGCAATTATGTTTGAAACCAACTTGAATATTCAATAACTGACTTGAACGTCGTCGTCTTTTCTTTGCTTACAAGTTTCCTTGTTAAGTTCGATTCGTTCAACTAAGTTCACATGGATTCTACTTGTCGAAACAAACGCTTATTCTATTATAAGTATGACTTCATGAACTTAATAAATATATATATCTTTATTTTCAAAATAAATATATATATTTTATCTTCAAAATGATAATGTGATATTATCCTAATTTTTAAGTCATTCTAATTATATATAACAGATTCTTATAGCAGAAAAATTAAAAAATCAATTGCACATAACAATAAAACATGTCAATAATTATTTATGTAAACAAACACAAATAATTTGTACAAAAAAATTTTGTTTGAATCGTCAAACTTTCACATGTATTTTATGTTAGTTCTTATACTTTTAAATTATAAATAAATAAACTCATATGTAGCATTACATAAATACTTTATGTTTAAGTCACAGGTTTAGTATGACCAAAATTTAAAACAAATGGCGTAAGATTTATATTAAATTTAAAATAAAAAATTAACTAGGGCCCAGACAAATTTTATGAAAGCTTAGAGAACAATACAAAACATAATGTAATCAATAAATTTAAAGCCTCTAAGTTTCATGTTTATTCTATTTTAGCCCCCTCAAACTTTGCTGCTTTTTTTTAATATTAAATTTTGTATAAAAATTATTTTCATATTTAACATATTCTTTTTATAGATAAATCATTTAACTGAAACTTGATAGGATCATGTCCAATCAATACACACATTTACCCATTGAGTTTTAAAGCCACGTATCGTAAGTTATGTATCGAGTTTTCAAGTGAATGAATTCTTGTCACGTCTAGAGACTAAAATTAAATCTTAAACATGGTATAAAAAATGAAAGTTACACCAAAGTAGGCTTTCAATAAGTTAAAATCAATTTAATATGAAAAAAAAATTTGTGAAATGGCGGGGTCCATTTAGTATGTCCTTGTTTCTTGTTTTTTATTTCTAATTATTTTATAGTATAAACATTCTGTAATTGGTTCTGTTACCAACATTTCTAAAATGGCGTAGAAATTTTGAAAACAACAAAGTCAAGTTTCTTATTTCTTAYTTAGGTCTCTTGTGCATTATTTTATCATTTTTACTGGTAAAATATGTAATAAATATATAAAAGTAAATCTAATATGCAAATTTTGATTTTCAATTTTTATTAAAA